ATATATTCCTTTTATATAGTTCTCTCCCTTGTCTATTTCAATGCCGTGTACATTTTTAATCACTTCCTTTCTAAGGTTCCCTGCAACCCTGATGTCAGTCCCTTTTTACAACAGTGGCACTACGCTCTATTTGTCCTTTTGTGACCGAGATATTTCACTCAGCATAAGGTCCACCAGGGTCACCAAGTTTGTATAATATTTCATGAGTTCCTTGTTTTTCAATGCAGCATAGTCTTACATTGTGTGAATATACCAGAGTTTCTTTACTCATTCATTTGTTGATTGGTACTTGGGTTGTTTCTATGTCTTTGCTGTTGTGAACAAAGCAGCAGTAAACATGGGTGTGCATGTATCTTCTTGGGTTGCAGTTCTGGTTTCTTTAGGGTATATATGCCCAGTAGTGGAAATGCTGCATCAGATGGTATTTCTAACTGGTCTGGAGTTTGCTTTGGCCCTTGCTCTGGTCACCTTAGATGTTACCGCATTTCTCAAGGAATGGTCAGGCCTGGGGGGCAACTGTTATAGTCTGTTGCAGATGGAGGGCAGAGTATTTTTATAATTATTAATAATGAGAAAGCCAGCCAGGAATGAGATAGAGCATAAAACGGGGGGCCAGCATGTCTCAACTGAAGAGCCAGCCACAAGCCATGCATCTCTGTGTATTTATTGATAATCAAGGGAAGCAAATCATAAAAAGAATTACTTGTACATGGAACAGAATTGTTCTCTATTGTCAATCTAATGCTTTAGCTGAGGAAGGAAGTATTTCACACATAGTAACACTCCCTCTGTAGAGGGGCCCCAGCTGTCTCATGTCTGCAGGGAACAATCAGCTCATTTTCTGTGATCTGTCGCAAGAGAAATCCTAACTTATAAATCTGTAATTCCTTCAATTCCTGAACAAGAGTTTTCATATAATATTTGGTATGAAGTTTGGCTTCCCGTAATAGTCTTCTTCCTCCAATCAAGAGGCAAGGGTTTTTTGTTTTTGTTTTTTGGGTTCTTTTTTTCCAATCTGCTACTTTTTTTCTCTTCGGTGGTGCATTTAGTCCATTCACATTCAGTGTCATTATGGAGAGGTAGGGTTTTATTGCTGTCATTTTGTTCAATTCTTTTTGGTGGCAAGGGTTGTTTTAATTGATAGTTTTAAAGTGGGTCTTTCTTGGGAGTTGCTTGAGCATTTTATCTGGTAGGTGTTGGTTAACAGTATGTATATTACAATTCTAGTTTCTAGTATCACTAATAATTTTTGTGCTTTTTATTAGAGAATAGTAGAAAGACACAGCAAACGGTTTAATTTTTCATTGTTAAAATGGTAATATGAAATTCTTTAAATTTTTTAGGATCTTGAGAAAACCTTTTTAGTTTGTTTTTATAACTTAAAATTTTTTTTACATTAAAGAGAACCTGGATTTTATGATGTTTTTATTGGGTATTTTTTTTTTACTGGAATTGTTAGCGTTCATGAGCTTTAAACTGTTGCTATATTACACTTAAAACGAAAAAGAGAAAAAGGTAAATTTGGAAAAACTCTTCAGTTTTGAATTCTGGCCGAAAATCTTGGGGTGAGTAGTATTAGGACCGCACAGCCCTTTCCTTCCCCTGTCAGAATGGCCACTGAGAGAATTCAATCACAGGAAACAGCCGCTCTGCTTTTTCTCTCTGTGAAACCACCCTACCCCCCATTTTCCCAGCACCCTAGCCCACTTCTCTATCTTGAAGGAAGCATCTGGAAGCATTCCCTTCCCCAAGTCCCTTGTAAGATAATAGAAAATCCCCCTCTAACTCTTAGTGGGTGCTTGTCTTAACGCTTGAGAGCCCAGATCTGCCGTTTCTCCTCAAGAAACTGTCTTTTTTTTTTTTTTTTTCCCGGCACTGGGTTCTGTACTTCCTCTGCAACCTTACAAATAGAGAGTCCTCTAAGGAAAAAAGGAAACAAAAGTCTTAGACCTGCTTTAATAAAAGCAGTGGCTGCTCCTTGAGGCCTGAGGAGAGGGAATGACTTTTCAAATGGATTATTAATTACTGTCATTTCCAGTCCTGGCCCCTGCTTGAGGGACAGGAGGGCATGAATTTGCAAATGAATATGGCTAGAATGTGACTTTTTTTTTTGCCTGGTTTATGAAAAGTTAGCGCGGAATGGAAGAGAGAGCAGCTCTCATTAACTACTAAAATCACTAACTGCCTGACACAGTACCTGTTAACAGAAAAGAAACTGCATACAAACACTTTACTATTATAACAAAGTATCTGCGTTAGATAGAGAAGAAACATCAACTGTTAACAAATTTTACTTTCGGTGAAGTACTCCTATTAACAAAATTAAATTTATTTACTTAGAAATTAAATTGCCCCAGTCCATAGACATGTGTGGGGGCAAAGGTTAGGGAAGGTCGGGGGGGGGCCTTCACAGGGACTGGGGAGCCCTGTATCCATCCTACCCCTGCAAGGCTGAGAGATGGGGAGCCACAGTCTTGTCTGGGCCCCCTCCCACCCAAGCCTCTGGGGGAGGTGGGCCAGTGAGTAGACAGGGGAGAACGGAAGGCAGCTGCAGGGGAGGAGTGGGCTTGATTTTAGAAGGCAAGGGTGGGGGTGATGGGTTTTGAGGAAGTTCTCAAAACCAGGAGACCTGAGGGCTGGCCAGGCTCCCCTGGGGCCCCCACCAGCCCAGACCCTGCAGGGACCTGGACCTCCTTGCTGACACGGAAGACCCTCCCTACAGCTCCACTCTCCCAGCTTTGAATGCAGGGGCACAGACTGCAGGGCACCTCAGTCTGTCCTCACTGCCCATGACCCAGCAGCACATGACAGGATGGGATGTGGGATGGGGCTCCCAGAGTGCCTGCTGCCCATCTGGCCCCAGAGGCAGATCGGCAGGGCCCACTGTCTCGCACCAAAGACTGCCAGACCCTGCCCTGGACCAAGCACAACCAGGCCCTGTGCAACAGGGGTTTTTACACCTGTTGTCATCATCAGAAAGGGACAGAGCCCGAGATCGCTCTTATTAACGACTAAAATCACTAACTCGGCCTGAAACATGTTCTCTGTTGACAGAAAAAAACACGAACAACTACGAACAAACATGTTTACTATTTTTAAAAATTTTATTAATTTTTTTAAATTTTAATTTTAATGAACATTTAC